TAAATAATAATAAGTAATAGGAAAGGAGTTATTTTACATAATCATGTTTTTCTACATATAATGGAAAACAGTTAAGCAGTGAAGCTTGAAAAAACAGTTATGACTTTATAGAGTTTTTAATTCAATAACAACTTATTGAACATCACTTTGTTAAAATATTTCACTTAGATCTTATCTTTTATAACTGATTCTTTACAGTATAATATAAAAAGTAACTATTATAAATAATACATATTATTATGATAACAATGAAATTTTTTTTTAAAATATAACAATGGTTAGGTAAAATAAAAAAATATTAATAATCAATACTATATTGTACTTTAAAGACTAGTACCCTTGACTATGATAATAAATTCTTAGATAAAAACAAATAATTAGTTTAGACTTTTACTCATAATACTTATGTATATAATAACAATATTAAAAATTATTTAAATAGTCATTAATTAGTCACTCTAAATAGATTGCATTTCAGTCTATTATTTGTAGTACTATTTATTAGAGATTTTAATTTAGTTACAATTAATTAAAAATAATACATCACTTTGTAGATCTTAATCTTTAAATATTTTTCTTTATAAAATAGTTTTAAATATTTAACTGATTTAACACATATTTTGATAACAATTAATAATTATTCACATAATAAATATTGAAAATATATGAGAGATTTTATAATAACAACGGTTAGGTAAAATAAAAAATATTAATAATCAATTTTATATTGTACTTTAAAGATTAGTATCCTTGACTATGATAATAAAACTTAATAAAATAAATTCTTAGATAAACACAAATAATAGTTTAGACTTTTACTCATAATACCTATGAATATAATAACAATATTAAAAATTATATAAATAATAATAAGTCATTTAGTCTGTATAGTCTGAATCACAGTCTCTGTTTTGTGTAGTGCCATTTTTTTATTTTGTATAATTTAAAGTGTCAATCTTGTTACACGGATAATGAATACTGTAACACGAATGAAACAAAATAAATTAATTTAGGATATAATTTTATAACAAATATTTATAATACCATTATTGTTAATATAATAATAATATTCTATATTACGGAATCAACTCCATTTACAAAAATAGTATAATATATATATATAATAATAATAAATAGTATAATAATAACGGGTAGTATAATATATTAAATAATGAATAACATATGCTACAATAATTTAAAAATAATATGCATTTATAAGTCTTAACTAATTATCTATTTGACTTTAAATATGACTTGAGTGTATCAGTATTGACAAAATTAAAAAAATCAATATCGGCTGTATTACCTGCTGCCATTAATATGTTTATTGGAGAGGTTTCTAAAATTTTTTTTTTAAATTTATTTAAGTAGAACAAATCTTTAATTCGGGTATTGATTATAGGCACTTTAAACTGTAAACGCTCGACAAGGAATGGACAATTAATCGTACCAGCAATGAGTTTAAACAAAAATGTTATATTTTGGGTATTCCTTCTATATTGTAGAGAATCCATATTAAAAAAAACAGAAACTCCATTATAAGCAGAATGGGGTTCTCTTTGGACATGGCATTTAAAGGATAAATACCTTAAAAAGTTATTTTGAATTGATTCTATATCATGAGAATGAGAAATAGAATTATTGAGCCAAACAAGTGAATTGTATTCAAGGCGTGATCTAACTAATGCAAAATAAACTGCTTTAAAGGCATCAGAGCAAAAAAATTCGTGGCAGTTTCTTTTTAAGAAATGCATGTTTCACGAAGCTTTACTTTTTATATTTTTTATGTGATAATTGAAAGTAAGTTTTGTGTCAAAAGTAACACCTAGGTCTTTTACAATAGTTAGTCTAGGAATAAGACAATTATTGATGGTATAACTATGCAGTATGGGCGATTTTTTTAGAGTAAAGGATAATATTGAACATTTGTCTATATTTAGAGCCATACCATTTTTATTACACCATTCGACGAAATTGTGAATATCAGACTGGAAGCATGTAGCATCAAATTCTGATTTAATAGGAATAAATAATTTTGCATCGTCTGCTAAGAGCAATATTTTTAAGTATTTTAAGCTAAAGACCACATCATTAATAAATAAAAGGAACAGAAGAGGTGATAAATGGTCACCTTGAGGGACGCCAGAGGTTACCTTAATTTTTTCGGAGTGAAAACTTTTATATTTTATGATCTGGATCCTATTAGTTAAAAATGATTCCAACCATGATAATAAAGGATCTAAGATACCAATTATTTCTAACTTTTTTATAAGTAAAGAATGGTCTATTTTATCGAAGGCTTTTTCAAAATCTGTGTAGACAGCATCAAGTTGAGAATTAGATGAAAAAGAATCCATAAAAGATTGCTTAAAAACTGTGAGATTGGTGATAGTAGATTTCCCATTTCGAAATCCATGTTGTTCGTCCACAAGAACATTTTTAAACAAGGGTGTAATTTTTGAGAATATTTTTGCAATTAGTGAAATTTTTGAAATAGGTCTATAATTAATAATTAATTCATGGTCACCCTTTTTGAATATCGGGGTAATAAAGGACGATTTTAAAATATCAGGAAATATTCCAAATTTTAATGAATTATTAAATAAAATCACTATGGCAGGAGAAATAACAAATGAACATTTTTTTAGGAAAAAGGCATCGATTCCATCTGGTCCAACGCCGCCTCTTACTGAAAATAACTCATTAAATACATCAGTTAAACTAATTTCGACTTTATTTATTCTTGAAGATAATTGAGGAATATGTTTTGAGGTAACAGGTTTCTTCAGGAATCAAATTTGTATAGAACCACTGGTACTCTTTTGGCACATATTTACAAGCTAACTGAGTAACATCATTATATTTTGCTAATTTAAGCTTGATAGGACTATTGTACAGTTTTAAAAGAACATCTTCATTTATATAAAGTGTTTCACCATTTTTTTCCATATTGTAATGTTCTCTAATAGTAGAGTTACCAGATCTTCCACAAAATAATTCTTCGTTTTTATTATATTCAACATACCGATAAGCCATAATGGTAAATTTTGTCTTTTACTTATTTGTAACAATTTTTTTGCACAAGGGCATTAAATAATCAGTGAAGTTAAGTATTATACTTTGATCAACATGTATTACATTAAATTTACTGCTAGTTTCTGAAACAAGTTTTTCATACTCTTCTGGTAAAAAAACTGTTTCAACTTTTCTTCTTGACTTTTCAATGTGGCCAAAACATCTGTCGCAAGGCAAGAAACTATGGCCTGGTTCAGGATATCTATGAATAATTGATTTAATAGAAAATATCTGACTATTTACAACTGCTGACAAATATTGAAATAATAATTTGTTTTTATTCTGAGCACTGCAGTTGTCAGAAAATAAAAAAACCTTTTTAATATTTTAGCTTAAAATACTTTTAAAATAATAATGTAAAAAACTGATCACTTCATTTTGACCTTTCTTTACTATAGTCTCATTATACATAAAGTAATAGGATTTTCCTGCACTAGCAGAATGTATGCAAAAGTTGTATGACCACATTTGCCTTTTATAGAATACATCTCCGGATGAAATATGAGGAAGAGGCATATTTTGTTGGAAGTCGAAGCTTAAAACGTCAATTGAGTTATTTTCTTTTGCTTCAGCAGTTAACTGTTTTAAATATGTATAAAAAACTTGAGCTTTTTTCAAATGGACTTCTTTTTCTACATCAAGTGATGCTTTTGCTTCAGGGTCTGTTTCATTTTGGATAGACTTATGCAGTTGATCACAAGTTTGACACGTATCCGACCTTGGGTATGCAAATGAAGTATTAAAGTTTGATGCAAAGTACTTAGCAAAATATGGATATTTTACTATAGGTTTCACAGTAATTATTTCTCTGCCTTCACTAAGCTCTGCATTATACAAAGCCCAAAAATCTGGTTCATATTTTTGTAGAAACAACCTATATAATTTTGCCACAGAAAGATCAGGCGATAAATATCTGGTGTTACTATTATCCAATCTACTATAGTGTGATTGCCTTTTGGGAAAACTATTTATATGTGTATTCATTTCAAAATGGATATCTGCTGGTAACTTATTAGGACGATTTTGGTGTTTACCACGATTATCTGTAGGGCTAGGGATGTTATTTTGTATTTTTTTTACTATTCTATCCACTGCCGTTTTGCCCACACCAAAAATCGAACAAAATGCTTTTTTGCATATCAAAATAACATTAGTGCCAAGTTTTACTTCATACTGTACAGAACAAGTCTTACTTGGACGACTTCCGTTCCTACTTCTATGACGACTAACTGGTTTTAAGTGAATCAACCCACCTAAGAAGGTATCTTGTTTAGATTTATCCCCAATATTATTAAAAATAGATATTAAAGATTTTCTATCGTCATCTGAAACATTCACAAAACATTTTTTGCTACAAAGGCAATCTGATCCAGTCAATCTAGGTGGAACAACATTCTTAGGTAGTGAAATATGTCCAATGCCTTTAGCTTGTTTTTCTTTTGACACATTCCGTTCCCACTTGGATAAGTTTAGTTTTCTTTTTTTACCTTTAGGTGTAGACGGTTCATCATCACTGGTTTCATCTACAACGTTAATTTCTGACAATAGCAAATCTGGTTCGTTATTCTCATTACAATCTGAATCTGTGTCAAAAGCTAAGATACCATCAAGTTCCTCATTTTCCCGATCATTAATATGAAAATCGGAGCTAGAAAATCGTCATCAACATCCGAAGAAAAGTCTGTATCGTACTCGAGAGCCTTAGCAATATTAGAAGTATCCATTATATTTATTTAAACTCAACACTTTAAAACTAAATACCTACTAGTCATTAATTAAATTTGAATAATATATATTTCAAGAAATAACGTCAACTAAATAACTTCTAACAGTTCTAACTACTAAGCAATAAAACAATAGTGAAGAATTAAAAAATACAAATACTGCTATCAAGCAGAAAATATATGATAAACAAATTTTACAGTATGACCATTATTGGCTGCAAAAACAAGGCAAGTCCGGCCTTCCTTGTTTTTGACCATAAAATATTAAACGAGGTAAGTCCATTTGCACGTTATCTTCGTAAACGACGATTGAACATACCTTGTTTTTGAACAGTATTAACCGTGATGATATGGCGCATTCAAAACAATCAAAAAATGATTTTCGAAAAAAGTGGACTTGCCCTGTTGTTGCAGTGAGCCCTTCAATTACAAATTATTAGAGTGAATACTAAACGTTAACAGAATGTTTGAAAATAACTCACTTTTTTTTAATTGAGCAATTTGCAATGAAATGGTTTCCCTACATCTTAAAACTTTGGCTTATTAAGTATAGCTCCTGAGGCAGCCTAATTGTTTGTGTCATAGTGTATGTGTATCTGAAACATACAAATGCAATTATTATTAATTAATAACTAAAGCTCGGATGTTTACGCGTATGAGCTAAAGAAAATTATGTTAAATTGAATAATTAACCTATGTTAGCAAACAATAAGGTAGGAATTATTTGTTTAAATGGTAGCTACTAGTTTCAAAATTAAATATATTAAACCCCAAATAAGCAAAATTTTGGATTACATAAATAAAACAGAAATCTCGCAGAAAACGTTGTCAACAACGGCATCTGGTTGGAATGAACAGGGATCTAGAAGGCATCTGGATTCAGGAAACAGAAAACTATTGTTTATAGTTAGAGGTATAACTCAATTGTTGTGTAATTGGATGGTGGAATAAAACGAAAGAGTGGAGGGGCTACACGCAAAAAAAGAGGTTATAAAACGTTAAAGAAATCAACATTTCAAATGGTTTTCTTAAAACAGATCTAAAAATACCTATACACGGCATTAAAAGTAATTCCACCATTTGCCCCTTTTGCCGTTTATATGCTCTTGTAGGGAAACTTAAGAGCTTTTCAACTGTATTTCTCTATTTTACAGACAACTTGGACAAGTGAACCTTATATTGACTTTTGTTTGAAAAATATGATAATTTCCATAGCGGCACGTTATCGGACCGTATGCGTTCTAAGAGCGTTACAGCTGAAATGGGCTTGAAATTTTTTCAACAGGGTTTTATAATTTACAAGTTTAAAGGCCAAGTTTATATGCTCTTAAAAATGCCTAAGCAATCTGTCATTGGGTATAATGTACATCAATTTAGCTGTTAGCAGTGGGCACTCATGAATTTATAAAAAAAAAAAACTTCAATATTTATATGGATTAATTAAAAGCAAGTCCTCGATGTAATTATCCCATCCGTTCTTTGTAGAGTAGAGCTTAGTTTCATAAATGTATTATTCCTCGCTCCTACTACAATACGTTTACTAAATTGTTTTAAAGTTTTTCTTATATTGTGTATAATATGTGCAATATGTATGTACAAAATTGATTTACCTTCATCTAATAATAATAATAAAGAAAAACTACGTCTTTTATGGTGTTTAATAATACAATTTATAGTGAAATTTTTGAATCTTAATTAAAAAGCCAAAAATATTGTATATATTATTATGTAATATTACATGTTTGATTTTATTTATGAGTATTATTACTTAATAGAATTTAGATATTATAAAGTATTAAACTTTCTAGGTATCTATTTGCTTCAATTGTTCTGCTGCTATAAACAGCCTGCTGTTGAAATTCTATTTGGATGGCGCTAATGCAATACTCCCTTCGTACTATTCTTTGTAGTCTACGGTATTGATAGTAGTGAATTACATTATCTCCATCAGAACAATTTGACATGTTGCCATAATTTGAAAAAACACCGGAAAAATTCGCGTTTTCTCTTCACGACAGTTCTCACGAAACTATCGACTGGTGGAAGAACATAAATCCATTACAAATTATTTACACAATAATCACATGCGGAAGGTTAGTTTATTCTTTTAGTTGTTGCCAAACGAATGTATTTTTTGAAATGTGTTTCACGGGTTGAAATACTACGTGGATGATTTTCAGATATACCGTGTCAATGGTTGTTAACCGACGTTCCGACTCTGCAAAGAGTGTAAAGTTTAGTTTAATTATATTGTTTAGTTTTGTTGTTGTAAATAATATTATTTGTTATAAGTTAAGCCATTTTATCTCGGTGTGCCTCAAATATTTACTAACTTTGATACCTAAAACACTAAAAATGGCTTGGTTGAAAACTTATTAACTCCTATATCGTCTTAAAATTTTTTAAAAACTTTAATTCCTTGTCCTAATAATTATTTTGGCTAAATGATTACATATAGGTGCATATTTGAGATTTCACACTGGGGAAGAAAACTATTCAATATTTTAAATTATTATTTACAACTCATATGTATCTTCCTTATTTTTTTATTATCTTGTTATATAAAATTCTACAGTTTCCAAGTCAACAACTGTTGTATTCTTCTAACACAATAGTAAATAAATACATTTTATTAGAGCTTTTTAATTCATATAATAAATAACTACTATTAAATAACGCATTGATATAATAAGCGCTTGAAAAATAATTAGTAGCTCAAAGTTCAAAAACTAAAACTTATAAGCTTAAAGTTTAAGCAACTACACAATTATGGACACGTCATCATCCGTACTCTCTAGTATAGTGCACTTTACATCTTCCTAAAATAATTTACATAATATTTTATTGTATTATTGAATTTAAGTATAAATTCGCAGAAGTATCCGAAAACATTGAGCAAGAATCGTATTTTAGTGTACAACAAAACGACTTGAGTGGAACTATTGTAGCGGAAAATCTTGCCTTGGCGTTAAACGAGAATGTTGTGGACGTTCAGAAATCAGTACATTCCGGATCGCTGTCTCCGCGTAACTATTCATTTTTATTTTGATCAGAAGTACAGTATTTTCCAGAAATGATCAGAAAAAAAAAATCTCGAGTTACATTTACTTTAGAAACCAATTTTTAAAATATCATTTTACTCAAATCACTGATAAAAAATTTAAGCAAAATTATCTGAAGAATACATTTTTGAAACCATGGATGTATGTCAAAACTTCATAAACTAAATCTTTAACCATTTAAAATTGTGTAAATTTTAAACTTAGCTTTTCTTATACTGCTACGTCCAATATAAAATTGCAGGAATTAAATAAAAATTGAAATAATTTACCACGCTATCAAAGCTTAATGAAGGCATTCAGCCATAGGTTCCCAAATGGATACCACTTTGGTTTTGCCGATCCTGCTCTACCATCATGGTCCTTTTTTTTACTAGGTTATAACCAAGTTAAACTAATTGAAGAATAATACTATAAGATGGCTTGGGAACCTATGACTCTGAAAACCTATGACCGCTTACCCTTAATGAATTAATGCTTTACCGCGTGGCGCAGAAATTGTCAAGTCTTTTTATCTACTAACAGCTACACCAGGACTTTGCAGAATATGTCTACAACCCGATGCTGACGATTTAAACAAATGTATTTCCCCTTGTTTGTGTTGTGGCTCCATATCTAAAGTACACAAGTCTTGTTTGGAACGATGGTTAGCGCAAGCCGACTCGAGTTCTTGTGAGATATGCAAATATGAATTCAAAACCGAGCGATTGTCGACGTAATATACATTTTATTTTTAATTGTTGATATTATCTATCGTACCCTGATCAATAAAATAATCTATTATATCTGTTAATTGGAAGGATAAAATATAATAAGAATTATAGAGAAACGACTAAAACAGAATACTTCTAGTAATACGAATAATGAGTTTTGTAATACGAAATATTAATAAGGAAGTAAAAAACATGTATGTTTGGTGGGTGAACAAAAGTAACTTAATTTTTTGGGATCAGTTTACTGAATTTCAATAGAACTCTTAGTTTTTTAATAACAATCCTCGGTACATATTAGTCTTTATTTATCATGAAATTAAGTGTTTTATGTCTACGTTATTAACGTGATTTTCAATTCCCCTCATTTATTTATTCAACCTATAATCATGGAATTAATAAACATAACCAATAAATGTGTATGCATATGATTTTCAGTCATTCATTATTAGGCTCAATAGGAGCGTGGTTTTGTAGTTCAGAGACGCAAGAAGACGCTAAGCAGTTTTTATACGATTTGTGGCTGTTCTTCATTATCACACCAGCCATTAGTCTGGTTTCATACGCTGGCCTAGTCATAAACGAAGCAATATTCACTGATAACACAGCGGTAAATTAATTTCGTTCATTTCACAATATAAACTGGCGCGGTGTACGCCACATTTTTTTTAATAATTTACTGTTTTTTGATTTGGTTGGTAAAAAATATATTTACATTAGCTCGTAAATATTACCGAGCCTACAACTCTTCTATTGATTACTCTTCAAGTATATTTCATTTTGATGATTCTTATATACTTGTAGTGTGAATAATTTTTCAAAAACTGTTGTAGATTTATAACGGCACTATATGCCGTTTGTTATCATTCACCGCTCTAACGATTTTATTAACCGTGGATTTTTTATATGGTTGTTGGACATCGATCAGAGTACAATATCATTTTGGACAATGGTACAACTACTACAGACGATGTCAACGAGTGATAATCGTGGAAACAAATCAATAAGGGAACGGAATGAAAATATATATAAAATTAACACTTGAAAATCTTAAAATTATTTTTAATAAATAAAAAATTACCATAGTAAAGTCGTTAACATTTATATTGTAATGCTTTGATTGTGATCAGTGGCGGCCAGCATCACATATAATTAAGGAGTTATGACTATATTGATTTTTAAACAATAATGATTAAATTTAATGACAAAAGTAGAAACTATATATGTACATAACTGTTGAATAAAAACTTTTATAAATCCTTTAAGTAAATAAAAATTATGAAAATAACAATGTTGAAATAACTTTCTATCAATAAACGTAAAAGTTAAAGAAAAAACGTTTATACATAAACATGTAAAATTTAAGTTAAATTGTTTGCTTTTATTAATAATAATTAACTGGTTCATTCGACCCCTGTTATATTGTATCTATGTTATCTTATATATTACATTGTGTTTTATATATCTCAATAACACATTTTTCTCTATGGATTTTCCTGGACAGAATTATTGTGTATTTCTTTTGTGCATACATAAATTTAAAATGACCTAGTTATCAAAGACTTTAACAAAAAAAAAAAATTATAATTACCTATCGCTTATTAATTAAATATAATGCAATCTTAACCACTGCATGACAAATATTCCACTTAGCATAAAATATAACTTCAGTCAATAAATTATTGAAACTGGAGTAGAGAATTGTATTTACACTATTTTACACTAATACAATATAATATATATACATATATTTACAAAAGGTAATGATAATCAGTTAAAAATTCTGACTATCATTAAGATTTCGAAATTGCACATTGGGTAGCTACCTCTGCCCCTAACCTCATCACCGCAATCGTGGCATAGGCATTTGTGGCCAAATGAGGCACAGGCACGAGTATATTATTGGCTGCCAAGCAAATGCCAGAACTGTTTTCATGTCGCGGTGTTATATTTTCATTGGCATTTGTCGAAACATAGGCGATATTATCATGCTCCCATCACAATCTGGCCATTTCCATTTCTTCGACAAACTCCAGAACCTCGTCGTCGGCCTCTGGTAGGCGTCAGTAATGTTGTATTCTATTATAATTATTAACAAATTATTTTTGATATTTACTATTTCTATTCAGAGCCTTACTGGAAAGAATGTCGTTATCATCATGTACAGCTTGAACAACAGGAGCAGCATGAACAGCAGGAGCAGCTTGGACAACAGGAGCAGCTTGAACAACAGGAGCATTTTGCTGCTCACCATCTCCCATTTCTAAATTTTAGGTTAAAATGAAACTTAACTTTATTTATAATCTGTTATATTTCTTGTTAAAACAATTACATTTTTGTTGGTTTTTATTGTGGTCCATTTTTTCTCTACAAGCTATTGTTTCCAAGATCGGGTTGGGTATGGACAATTTTTTTATATTTCTTAGCTCAACTGGTCATAAGTAAGTCCCAATGTCCTCTTTCCCATAGGGGTGGTTTCTTAAACATTTATGTGCTAGAGTGAGGATTAATTTTTATAACAAAACATAGGCCAAGTTTAAAATCCTTTTTTTTTATTTGCTTTTACTTATTTTCTAGGTTTCTTTTACATTTTTCAGTACTTGGGGTAATTTATGTTAATTTTTAGTGTGACTTAAGTAATTACCAAAAAAAAAACGACATTTGACCAAGTTTGTGTGTAAATTATATTGTGCGACTAAATTCCTCCACTCATAGAATACATATATCTTAACACGAAAACAAGAGCTTATGAAACAAAATAGACTTCATTTTTGGAGTTTGTGGCCCTTCAAATCGTTCCGTCTAGCCCGGCTCTAAGACAAAATTTTTTGTTGAGTAGTGTTTATATCTATTTATTCTACATGTACTGTTTTAATATTTTTATTTAGTACTATTGTCAACATATACCTATGTTGTAGGATAAGTGGCCTGTGTAAGAGAGAAATTCCTTAATAGTAAGGCAGCCTTGCTCCAGCCTTTCAGTCGCCACTTTTATGTTCCTTAGGGTGGTTCTTATTTATGAACTTTTAAAACTTTAATGGGCTACCCCACCATTTTGTTCATTACTATGAAAAAAAAATTTGGGTAGAATTTGGTTTTGATAACTCACCCCCTTCACGTGCCGCAAGGGGGTTGAAAAATGACCAAATGGGTAGTTTTATAGTTTTTTGGTTTAAGTAGAAAGCTATTGCATTTAGCATAAAATTACAAATCAACTTTATGATAGATCATTAAATTCTCTATAAAAAAGATTACAATACATTTTTAAAAAAATGCATTATTGTCCAAGAAAAAAATAAAACATACCTTTTTTCATTTATTTGGAAAAACTGGTTTTCTACGGTTATTTAAATATGTTTGATGGACGATTGGAAATAGAGTAAAACGCTTTCAATTCATTTTATACAAAATTAAATTTCCTACAAAATAGATTATTAGAAAAAATTTCATACGATCAACCATTTTTTTTTTAAAGATCGTTTAAACAAATATATTGTGAAAAACGAAAATTATCGTTAGAAAAAAAAATATAGAAATTGACCCGGGAACAAAATAAAATAATCATATTTTTCCTATTATTTAAAAAAAAAACAAATACATTTTAGCTAATATTTATTTTATTGTACACATCACATATAATGTTATTTTGTTAAAATTAAATTTAATATATCTATATAATTTCAATATTTTATTTGAATAATTAAATTAAAGCATTATCCAAGTTAATATTCATTTTCTAATGTTTTTCGTTTAGCATCAGGAAACCGTCGACGATAATCATATATGGTTTACATTAAAAATTGTTTCTGATCCTCATCTTTTGTTAACACTTTGTTGTAGTCACTTATTAATTTCTTCTGAAGTTCACCAAGGTAATTACAATTATTAAATAAGAATTACTTTACGGCATCAACGACGAAACGTTGCACGTAAAATAATATCTTATCGATGAAACCTTTACGAAGATTATAAACAAGTTGTAGCAATCATTAGTATTACACTAAATGCTACCTTGTCTAATATCGATTGATGAAAGTCCAAGCGTTAGATCAACAAGTATCGTCACCATAATACAATACCGACATTGTCAGGCTATATGTATTTCAAAACTTATTTATATAAAATATATGTACTAAATAAGTTATATTATAAATAGCACCTAGCCACCGGCCAGTAGGTACTTGAAGAGACAAACATTTTTTTATAGGAAAAAATATGATTATTTTATTTTGTTCCCGGGTCGATTTCTGTATTTTTTTTCTAACGATAATTTTCGTTTTTCACAAGTTATTTGTTTAAACGATCTTTAAAAAAAAAATGGTTGATCGTATGAAATTTTTTCTAATAATCTATTTTGTAGGAAATTTAATTTTGTATAAAATGAATTGAAAGCGTTTTACTCTATTTTCAATCGTCCATCAAACATATTTAAATAACCGTAGAAAACCAGTTTTTCCAAATAAATGAAAAAAGGTATGTTTTATTTTTTTCTTGGACAATAATGCATTTTTTTAAAAATGTATTGTAATCTTTTTTATAGAGAATTTAATGATCTATCATAAAGTTGATTTGTAATTTTATGCTAAATGCAATAGCTTTCTACTTAAACCCAAAAAACTATAAAACTACCCCATTTGGTCATTTTTCAACCCCCTTGCGGCACGTGAAGGGGGTGAGTTATCAAAACCAAATTCTACCCAAATTTTTTTTCCATAGTAATGAACAAAATGGTGGGGTAGCCCAATGAAAAACTTTTTAAAAAAATTCTTCATCTATAACTAAGGACCACCCTAATGTTCCTATCCTGCTGCACTTATAGTGGGTGACGTGGCCTTAAGGTGGGGCGCTCCAACTATTGTTGGTATTTTTGACTATAAATGCTCTCAATTTTCAGGAGTACCTCTGTAATTAAAAAAAATATATATTTCTACAACTAATTAACTATTTTGTAGCAAGTATTTCGATTTACTTGTAAAATTCCAAATTCCAGGTCTTGTCGTATTCATATGTTGGTTAAAAATTCTATGAAAGACCTGATCGTTATTTGTCCTCCTGGCCTGCCCGTAAACGCTAAAATTCTGCGCACCGGTTCCTATAGTAAGTATTATACAATACGGTTCATTCACTGATTCTCTAGGTAATTTATATAGCGACGAGCTATTTGTTGGTTTTCTGCGTGACTACTTTCGTCTTTAATTACGTCTTCTAAAACCCTCCGCTATATGCTGGATTGGTAGTAGGGCCAAAGCCTTTGACATACGGAACATATTGTGCAACGACATGTCGTTTCTGTTTGTATGTTGCCACATGCCAATCTCTTATGCATTTTTTTCTAGTGCCTATACTGAATATTGATTTAATTCTTAAGCAAAATTGAAGAATAAGAAAGTAAGAAGAAAATATTTGCACTTAAGGTAATTTTCATTATTCATTTTAGATATCCAAAAATAAATCAAAAGCATAAAACAAAAATAACAATTTGTTGAAGATGGAATTAAAGGTGTCTCCACGAAGGTTAGGGTTATTAACAATGGGGATTAACACGCAACCAATCCTTCACAAACTAGTGCTCGATTGATTTGATGGTGGTGTTCAGCAGTGGAAATGATAAGAGAATTCTTAAAAACATTTTTCATACTTGAACCATGTGAAACCAAAAGCGTTGCAGGTTGGCAGCTGGCAGAATTGTCCTTAGTGCGTTGGTCAGAGCGGTTTCGTAGTCTGTATCTAATGATATTTGTTGCTTGAATACCGCTTGGAATGAAATCCTTCACGTATTCAAGAACGCACCGGTATGCGACCTCGGTCTACCTCGTCATTCGAAAAAATCATCTAGCTAAGCAATTATAAATTCTAAAATGTGGTGATTGGTATTAAAACAATTTGATATTGGACTAATATTAAATATGCTGCTACACTTGTCCACAAAATATTACACGCAGTTATAATAGTTAATTGGAAGAAATTAATTTATACAAATTTTAATAGTTTTTCTTTGAAATAAGTTGTATTTTATAAATACTTAAGAAATATGTTTTTGGGGCAATAGGCAATGTTTTCGTTGTAATACATATTTTTTTATTATTAATAAAATTATTACTTTAACATTGCATGCGAAATAAAAACTGCTGCTTCACCAGCTTCTGCACCACCATTTATGTAACCCCTGTACAACTCCTCGTTATTGGATGATATATTGTTAATGGATGTTAGTAATGCATAATGGACAAACAAAATGACTGGAAATTGAAAAAATTTCAAAATACTGTGTCTACCCATAACGCTTCAGTGTTTATATTTAAATGGTCAGAGACCTATAATTGGATTTATATTTATTAATAACAAAAATAACAATAACAATAAATTACAATTATAATATTACAGTATTCAATCAATTTCCAAGGTTCTCGATGAGGGAATCGGTGAACTGGGCGCAGGACGCCGTTCCGCCCATGTCAGGCGTCTTGACTCCCTGTCGGACAGTTTCAGCCAGCGCGGTGTCCACGCGGACGGCCATTTCGGTCATGCCAACGTGGCTGAGCATCCAGGCGGCCGCCCTGATGAGGCCCGTCGGATTGGCCATGGTGGCCGATGCACCGAAATTCACTTGGTCGTCGTCGTCGACGCCGAACGAGTCGGCTTCGCCGTCGTTCATCGTCTCGAACATGGCTAAACGCGGCCCGTAAGCGGCAACCGGAACCACGCACGGGCCGCCGGCCAGGGCGCCGCACACGGCGGCTGCCAACGACCCATACAGACTGGGAGTCAGAAGCATATCGTATTTGCTATGGTCGTGGACCACGCGCAAGCAGAACTTGTCCAGCCGTTCTTCGTCGTACTTAATGTCTGCGAACCCTTTGCTCACGTTCCGGCACGCCCGCAAGAACATGCCGTCGGCCAGCCGCATCACGTTGGCCTTGTGCAGCACAGTCACTCGTTTGTGGCCGCGGGACACTGCGTAGCTGAACGCGAACTTGGCCACCGACTCGGACTGAGCTTGGGTCACCATTTTGATAGACTGCACTACTCCTGCGGCGGAGGAAAAAAAGGTGAATCTCTATTATTCACCTCCATAATTCCTTAATACCCCTCTATATACCTCCATAATCCCCAGAGTACCTAATTAAAATTAACTAATTTGGAGTACCTAATCACTTACAACCGCTAGATCGAGCCACACGCACAAATTTTCCTCGATAACGTCCAGCGTGATGCACGTACGTATACATTTTCTTATTGACCCCCAGCCAAAAGACATATCCATGTCTAGAAAAAACTTAAGCAACTGATGGTTACATATAATAAAATAATATTTAAAACCCTTTAGGATATATCCATGTTAAAAAATACCCGTCTTGTTAGTCAAAGCCATCTGAAACATCGTTAGTGGATTCTCAACGCTTTTGGTTCTCTCTGCAAATTTGTTGTATACAATTTAAATTATACCCTTTTCCCACTCCTCTAGGGGCACACGTTTATTTGTTTTTTTAGCCGTAATTTAAAGACTTAAGTTGAAAATTTGTCAGTAGTTAGAACTCATATGTATCCATAATATAATATAAAATGTATTATAAAATGTGTACCAAAATAAAACAAATAAGGCTCTATTAAAAGTTTTCACATAGGTATTACATATTATATTTCAACAGCTTGCGTGCGAGTCCGCAACACCACGGGATACATTTTTATGTATCTAAGGTGGCTAATAAACATATCAAGTTTCTGGCTAATATTTTAGTGTTTTCATAATATCTGGCCCCTTAAATTATTGAATTTATTTCTATTTTAAACGTTGTGAATACAACATATATGCCCCTCCCATTCCCATCCCCAACCTAACCCATCTCTAACCTCCTATCCTTTTACCTCCTATCTCTTAACCCCAATCTCCTATATCACAGAAACGTAACGTCCCCATCCCCATTTCCATCCTTATAAAAAAGACATATAAGGATAAATGTTCGGTGTCGATTTTCCCGGTTGTGTTCCAAAGTAAAAACAATATCTCTTATCTCTTTCCCTTATCTCTCTTATCTTATCAGATAAATCAGCCGATTTTTTCTTTATGACAACCGGTGTCTATTTTTCCGTTTATGTGCCAAAGCAAAGACATAAAAATGTCAAAACCAATTCGGTCGGAAAATTAAAACGGAATTAACGGTGTTTACCGGGTACGACGGTATGCTCGATTTCCGAGTATTCTCCGGACACGTTCTCGCGGATGTTGACCATGCGCACGTGACCAAACGGTTCGTAGCCGGGCAACGATGAGAACAGTCTAACGCCCACGTAGGCGTCCATGGCTTTGCGCAATTTCAGAGAGGCCGAGCTTTGCCAACCGTCCGGGCTCGGGTCTGGTCCTCTTAGCACCAGACCCGTTTCGCGGCACGACTGCAACAGTTCCGGATTAATGGCCGTCTGACCCGTAGCGTCGCGTTGCAGGTGCATCGTGTGTTTTTCCCATTGCACCGGTATTCCGGCCGCTTTGAAGATCTTCCGGACCGCGGCGCACACGACTGGGCCCCGTCCTTGGCCTTCGATGAGCGTAACGCGAAAAGGCTTTAGTGGGTCGGCGTTGGGTCGTTTTTCGCTCTGGCCGTCGCCGGTGCAATTGTCACCGCTGGCGAACCGACGAACCGCATGCATGGTGCTGCCAACAAATGAACGAGATTTCATCAACATGTTCTACAAAAATGTCGACGATTCCACTGAGAACCCTATTGTTTAAATAATAATACCGCGATACGGCGCAAGATTAAAATTACATAAAAACAACTGTTTTTAGCCAATGCAAAAGAAACTGTGTAGGTTAAGTGTCCGATTTACAAATAATGTTGGTTTGGTTTAGAGCCTACGATTCTACACGTGCATTTTAAATACACGTGTAGGACAAGGTTCGTGTAGTTTGAACTGACGTGTAGGACCCGAGATCCGACTAACTTGACCCAATGGCTATAATCTTAGTGACAACCATTAATTAAAAAATAGTATTACGTAAAATTAGAGGTTAAAAAATTGGATTGAAGTTATAGATTGACGCCAATTTGTTTTTCTTTGTAAATAAAAGTGGGCCAGCTCGCTCACCGTACAGTGTTGCCATGATATACATGGCAAATAAAGCAAAGCCTACATATAATTAAGGCTAAATATCTAATTTTTTTATTTTTTTTTATTAGTAATTGAACAATCTGTAAAAAACAGTTTTACATATTATTCATGTGATTACAGAAGAAGAAGAGAAATAAAATAAAATTTACATAATTATATATATATATATTAGTGGCTGAAGACTTGTAAGAAGGAGCCTACCAGTGTTGGTACTTCGTCAAGTGGTATCTACATTTTAGTAAATAAATATCATATTAACATAAAATGTACCTAAAGCATAATAACATTTAAGTTAAAAAATCAAATTGCGTATTTAACGGTAAACAAACATCATCGACACACTCACTATTAACTTCATTATTATCAGTATTAAAATTAAACTCTATAGTTATTATGGTACTCCCTTCATTCGATGTTCAACTTGTACACTTCACATTTTTATTACAATAAGTCGATGTTCCTATTTGTTATAATACTTCTAAAGGTAACAATTTTTTCATCTTCAATGCTAACGGCAGACTAACGGAGGTAAGTGTAAGATTTTTGTCTTGTTTCATTTTCACACTTTTAAAATTAAAAAAAAAAGACAAAAATGTCCATATGGTCTTTTTATAATAATTTACAACAAATTAATATAGTATGCAAAATGAAGATTATATTGAAAATGGTCACAAAAGTGTATACAGCATTGTACAATACAACATTGAAAAAATGATAAATACACAACTAATAATCAAATATAATACAAATAATAAATCAAGAGAAAATGATACACGCAAAAATGAATTACATTGAATTATAAATTATAAACATTGAAGAAATGATGCACAGCAAATAATCACATATAAATATAAATCAAGAAAAAAAAAAAGCATGAATGAAAATAGACGTAAAAAATGTCATGAAATCACTGCCAACTTAAACTTCACCCATTCCAGCCGACAAGCCTGGGATTTAGTAAGAAGACTCGGTTCGAAATTACCTAAGCCTGCCCAATATAGTACCATAAATCCTAACAATGTGCAGCCTGACTTATGGAAGTAACCAAGGCAATAATGGACAACATACACAAAAAAGACTGTGGAACAAAATAATTAATGAGAAAGAAAGAACTAGCCCCACACTCTGACTATAGTGTAATTAGAGACTATAGTGTAGTATAGTAGTATAGTATACCTAAAATGTAATAGTATTAGACTTCTCATTCCATTTTACAATAACTACAGCCCACTACATTTATTTTACCAACTGTGTTTCCATCTAACATGAGTAATTCTGCCAAAGGAGTAAGTGGTTCTTTTATACATTATAATGAATTTTTAATAGAAATTAAATTAATTTTTTCTAAAACATCAATACTCTTTGGAGCCCATTGTTGCAACTGTTTTAAAAGGACTTGTAAAAACGTAAAGCACCTTTGTTTTAATTGTTGCTTACTGTCTTCAGAGGATTTACTTGAATTTAATATTTTTTCATTTTCATATCCAAAGTAAACATTTGTGAACAAGTACTCATTGTATAACGATTGAGATGATATTGTGGGTTGATAAATCGTTTTGCGATTGAACGCACCATATTAGTCAAATCTGTAAGTAGTTTACTCGGATAAGCTGTAGTTGTCTCTAAAGATTTATTGACTTAATGAATTTCTTCCAGAATAGGATGTAAAAATTTCAAATATGCATAGCTGTTAGTATCACAATACATTGCATGCGGAGTAACAGCCATATAACATCTTGCTTGACAATCCCAAATAAAGTTTAAGTTCAGTCCATTGCGTCGAATCGGGACAGCTTGTATAATACGACTATACGACGATAATTAAACAGCCTTGAGCACATCAAATTTAAAATTGATTGACGTATGACGACAGAAGTCGAACACACGTTTCTACAAAAGCTTTCCAAATTAAGGATTTTTATACTCACTGGCTATTTATTTTAATTATTACCTGGCTAAAACATAAACTTCGTTACTATCAAACGAATGATAGTTTTACGCTACAAAGGTTAAATACGAAATCAATACAAGTCTCGTCAACATAAATAGGTACTCGAACTAATAAATATACCGAGTCTTCGACGATGTACAGAATTCACCAGAGGTAAGTAGCATAAAATACCTTAAGGGTTTGGATTTTAAATTAGAAATGGTCATTTTTTACAGTGCAAACAAGGGGATACACAAAATTATTCTAAATCGAGGCCAACCGTTTATTCAAAATATCCAGAAATATTACAGATCATCGAGAAGACCTCAAACTTCTGTCTTGTTTAAACCACGGAAGCCTAGTCTGATTAACCTCAAATGGGACACAGCATTATGTTCACGTTTTAAAAGAAGGGTATTACCAAATGTCAGCAACAAAATCAGTGTGGTAGAGGGAAGCTGCAAAAATATAGCCGAGAGCACTCCATTTGCTGAAAATAAAGTTAAATTGCCAAGCGATAAGAACGAGCCTCCCCCGCCTAAAATAAATAGTGCTGAAGAAAACCTGAAACCATCATGTGATAAAAAAGAGCATCCACTGCCTCTAAAACCTCCTGAGGAAGAAAAATCTCAATCATCATGTGACACCAAAAAACCTGTTTCGTCTAAAGAAACGTATGCACCAACCACAGAGCAAACATCGGCCTCTTCTCCAACTTCTAAGATTTCTTCTCCGCTTTCTAGCGCTCAGAAAAAACAATCTCAGACCACAACTATTACCATACCGGAGACTAAACCACAGGCTATTTACAGTATGATTAAGTCGCACAACGATATTGATACTTCCACCACGCTTAAGACGCCACCACAAACTACCATTTCAAGCGCAGCAGTGTCACAAATCAATACTAAAATTACCATTTTCCCTGCGAAATTACCTCGGACTACTAAATCTAACACTCATAAAACTACGGATATTACCACTCTAAAAACATTACCTCTAACAGGTTTTTCTGAAATTCCTAAAACTGACCCCACGGTTACGATTATCAACACACCTAGGAAAAAAACCAAAACTTCTCAATCCAAAATGTCTGAAACGACCACGCTTCTAGTACCATTTATACCATCCCAGAAATCCAAAAATGAAAAAACAACTTCTACAGATTCAAAAAAAAAATCTATCATGATGTTACCATCTTTAAACCAGCGAAAAAAATCTCCTGTGACTACACCCGCCAGCACACAGTCAGAAAAAATACAAACTATGAAACAAACCAATACTAAAACTAACATTTTACCAGGGAAATTACCTCGGATCACTAAGTATGACAACTCTCAAACTACGGCTATTACCACTCCAAAAACATTACCCTTAACAGGTTTTTCTGAAATTCCTAAAACTGACCCCACGATCACGATTGTCAACACACCTAGGAAAAAAACCAAAACTTTCGTATTTAAAATGTCTGAGTCAACAATACACTCTAAGACGACGGCCTTTAGTGTGCCAAAAACTAGAAATGAAATTACAACTTCTACCGATTCAAAAAAAAATTCAACCATGATGCTACCGAGGTTTGAGCGAAAAAAAGCTCCTGTGAATTTACCCGCCAGCACAAAATCTGAAAAAATTAAAACTATATCACAAACCAATACTACCATCTCACTTGTGAAATCACCTCGGACCACTAAATTTAACACGCCCCAAAATACGGCTATTACTACTTCAAATGAATTACCCCTTACAAGTTTTTCTAAAATTCCTAAAACTGACCCCACGATCACGATTATTAACACACCTAGGAGAAAAACCAAAACTTCTGTAACTACACCCGCCAGCACAAAACCTGAAAAAGTAAAAACTTTACCGATATCACCGCCACTGTCGAAGAAACCAAAAACGCCTAATGAAAAAAAATCTTCGAATAATACAATTTACAATTTTAAGAAAGATCCTCCAATTGAAAGAGGTTTCGAAGAAATTCCAAAAAAATCTTCGCTACCAAAAGACAAACAACTTCCTAGGATTATCACTTCAACCAGCAAGAATCTACCAAAGTTAACGAAAGTGAAATCTATGGTGCACGTTAACGATTCCAATGCCTCCCAGCCTCCTCGACCGTCCATCGCAGTTACCAAATTCGAATCCATGTTACGCATAGGATTGCGTAGGAAAAATAAAGATACTAGGAAGCAACATTCTTATGCTGAGAAAGTAGACAATATCTCAATAAGCGACTTAAGCAGAAAAAAAGAATCTAATTCAAAAACACATGGTAATTTTAAAGTCGACCCATCTAGACAGTCCAAAGCAATTACCAAAGAGTTTCCTAAATCCGTGATACGTCAAAGATCGGGCAAGAAATCTAAAAATACTATTTCTAGGAAGCAACACTCATACACTGACAATAAATTAGAGGATATCCCGAAAACCTATCATAGCCAAAAGAAAGAATCTGATTTAAAAGTCGATATTGTCAAGAAAACCTATATTGAAAAGAAAATTGATGTTGAAAAGAGAAAATTGTTCGCTGAAGAATCCAATAAAAAAATTATCAACTTTAATTCACTTAATCCAAATGACGTAACCTCGAAGTGTCCGTCGTCGACAGATCAACAAAATCCGAAACCACCGCCAACAA